AAATAAATAAATAAAATAAATTGTAGTCCATTGAAGAATTGGCGAAGTTATTGCCTTCATTACTCTTTAATGTTCCTGTCCAGTAAGAATTCTTTGGTGTATGCTGACGTAAAGACTTTGACACATTTATATGGTTTCCATGTTATGTGAATTCTTTCTAGACCACAAAGCACAAAGTTGTATATTTTGTTTTTTTATCAATGGAAGTCTGTACCTCTCAACTCCATTCATCTGTTTTAACCCATCCCCAACTTGTACACTTTTTATAACCCAGATGACACTCCTTTTATTTGTAAGGGTTCTCTCTAGAAGAATTTACATTCCCCAAAGTATAAGAAGCTTTAGATAAGCCTTGTCATACACTCCTAGTGTGTGCTTTCTTTCAGAGGCTTCTATTCTATCAGGTGAGGTATGAACCCTGGTTACAAGCTTTCCCACTTATGTTAGTTTCATATGGTTCCTCTCCATGGTGAAATCTGATACTGAGCAAGTCTTGAACACTTGCTCATTTGTTTATTTCTTCTACGAGTTCTTTGATGCTTCCCAAAGCTTGAGCTTTGAATAAAAGCACTGCCACACATATTAGGTTCACATTGAGTAAGATGTGAACGCTCCATAAAGGCTTTTCCACACTGAATACATTTGTACGGTTTCTATCCAGTATGAGTTCCATCATGACCCCAAAGGTGAGAACATCTGATAAAAGCCTCACCACATTTATTACATTTAAAAGGTTTTCCTCCTGAATGAATTCTCTGATCTTCCATAATGCTTGAACACTGGATAAAAGCCTTGTTACACACATTACATTTGAGTGGTTTATGCCAGTGTATATTTTCTGATGCTTAGCAAGTTTGCCCAATGGGGTAAACGCTTTGACACACTCATTACATTAGTAGAGTTTCTCCCCAGTACTGATTTTTTTTATGTTGAGTAAGATTTGAGCACTCAGTAAGGTTTTGCAACACTCACTACATTTGTAAGGTTTCTCTCCAGTATGAGTACTCTCATGACCAAAAAGGTCTGAACTTGTGCTAAAAGCTTTACAACATTTAGTACATTTACAAGGATTTTCACCTGTATGGATTCTCTGAAATGACCAAAGGCTTGACATTTGGATAAAAGCCTTGTTACACACATATTGTTTGTGTGATTTCTAGCCAGTGTGTATTTTCTGTTGATAAGTAAGGCTTTGAAATTGGGTAAACGCTTTGTCACACTCATTACATTTATAAGGTTTCTCAACAGTATGGATTCTCTGATGATTTGCAAAGTTTGAATTTGTAGTATAGAACTTGCCACATATGTTACACTTACATGTTTTCTTTCCGGTATGGGCTTTCTGATGTCTAGTGAGTTTTGAAGGCTGGGTAAAGGCTTTGCCACACTGATTACATTTGTGAGGTTTGTCACCAGTATGAATTTTCTCATGACTCCAAAGGTGTGAACGTTGGGTAAAAGCCTTACCACATTCATTACATTTGTAAGGTTTCTCTCCTGTATGGATTCTCTTATGCTGTGTCAGACGTGTACGCATCGCAAAGGCTTTGCCACAATCAATACATTTGTACGGTTTCTCTCCAGTATGGATTTTCTTATGCTGAGTAAGATGTGAACTACATGAAAAGGCCTTGCCACAATCAATACATTTGTAAGGTTTCTCTCCAGTATGAGTTCTCTCATGACGCAAAAGTTCTGAACGTTTGATAAAAGCCTTATCACATTTAGTACATTTATGAAGCTTTTCTCCTGTATGAATTCTCTGATGTGCCATAAGTCTTGAACTTTGGATAAAAGCCTTGTCACACATATTACATTTGTGTGGTTTCTCCCCAGTGTGTATTTTCTGATGCTTAGTAAGGTTTCCAAATTGGGAAAACGCTTTGGCACACTCATTGACTTTGTAAGGTTTCTCTCCAGTACACATATCCTGATGATTTGCAAGGTTTGAATTTTGACTATGGACCTTGCCACATATGTTACATTTATATAGTTTCTCTCCTGTATGGACTCTCTGATGAGTAGAGAGGCGTGAATACTGGGTAAACTCTTTACCACACTCATTACATTTGTAAGGTTTCTCTCCAGTATGAGTTCTCTCATGTCCGCAAAGCTGTGAATGTTTGATAAAAGCCTTATCACATTTATTACATTTATAAGGTCTCTGTCTTGTATGAATTCTCTGATGTGCTATAAGGCTTGAACTTTGGATAAAAGCCTTGTCACATACATTACATTTGTGCGGTTTCTCACCAGTGTGTATTTTCTGATGCCTAGTAAGGTTTCCAGATTGGGTAAACGCTTTGGCACACTCATTACATTTGTACGGTTTCTCTCCAGTATGGATTTTTCTATGTTGACTAAGATGTGAACCATCGGTAAAGGCTTTGCCACACTCAGCACATTTGTAAGGTTTCTCTCCAGTATGAGTTCTCTCATGACCCGAGAGGTGAGAACGCGTGCGAAAAGCCTTATCACATTTACTACATGAATAAGGTTTTTCTCCTGTGTGAATCTTCCGATGTTGATTAAGCCTACAGCTTCTGATAAAAGCCTTGCCACACACATCACATATGTGTGGTTTTTCTCCAGGATGTGTACTCTGATGTCTAAAGAGGTGTGAGCACTGCTTAAAACCTTTGCCATACTCACTACATTTGTAAGGTTTCTCTCCACTATGGATTTTATCTTGAGTAATGCTTGAACGCTCAGCAAAGGCTTTGCTGCATGCATTACATCTGTAAGGTCTCTGTCCAGAAAGAATACCCTCATCGCTCATGAGGTTTGAGGTTTTGCTAAAATCCTTCCCACAGTCAGTACATTGATAAGATTTTTGTCTAGTGCATGCTCTCCTGGCCTGTGCAGGTAACAAATGAAAAATCTTCCTAGATTTATTCCAAATGTTTTGGGCCCTGGAAATTCTTTCAAGTGGTGAGACTGAGGAACCATTGCTGACAGACTTCTCAGTTGGATTACATTCATACATTTTCTCCTCACTGTGAAACCTCTGGAGCTTAGCCAGGTGTGCCTGCAAACTTAATCCAATTCTATTTTCCAAGCAGTTTATGTACTGGTTTCCAGAACCACTTACATTACTGTCCTGTTGTAACAAAGTCCTGATGAATGGTTCATTATTCGTGACATACTGGTATGTATTTTTTCTCACAGAAACACTCTGCTTTTCAGGAAGAGTAACTGAGGGCTGATTAAGTGGCTGATCTTTCCTACAAGCGAGATTTTTCTTATGGGTCAAAGGCACTTCTTTGTAATTTCTTGCATCATCTCCCCACCGATTTTCAAACTCATGCCTATTTTCCCAGACTTCCTTGAGACCAAAATCCTTGATGCCATGGCTTTCATTTCTCTCCAATATCACTAAGTGGTAAAATACTTCTTTATAAATGTCCTCCCCTGGTGACAATTCCGTGAGTGCAAATCCAGCAGAAAGGCTTCCTATCAAATAGAGTCGGAAGGTAAATATTTTATACTAAATTCAATAATTACACACCTAAATAATTATAGTAAATAAAGGAAGTTAGTCAACAATGGTCTTCAAACACTTTTCTCATATACAATGTTTTTGAGTTCTCTTTTTATAACGTTTTCCATATTAACAATTTCCCTGATTTTAAGGTAATTTTTCGAAAAACATTTTACATTATCCATATTTTTTGGACACATAACTGGATAATTAAATGACACTTCATGATTACAGAGCCCATCTACACACTGGTTATTTTATAACTGTGTATGAAAATCATAGAGATGTCTATCTTCCTTAAATCTTAGTCTTTATAAAAATGTGTTTACCTGAACCCAATATCTCATATTTCAGTGATGCTCAACGAATCTTTCATTCCTCCTAGTATGTGTTCCTTATGGAATGTAAATCCTGTTTTTATGTCTCCAAGAAAAACTGCTTTAGAATCCCAGGGACTACTAGTTTGTGTAACTATGGTTACTTATTAACTTAACCTCCTAGAACTATCAATATGTAGGTTGTAACATACAGAGTCTTTAAATACCTTGTTTCTCTCAACCTATGTTCACACATTATTAAACACACAGTATAATTAACCACCAGATCAAGCTGCTGTCCTGAGCCATTCATACGCAATGTTCCCCTGTATGAATAGGGATCCTTCTGCAGTACAGGGGACAGGGGAGTCAGGTGCTGTGTAAACTGAGGTGCTTTGTTGATCAAAATTAATATACCAGGATATACGAGGATGGTTTGTTTAGCTCAATGAAACATCTGAGGAAAGGCCAGGACTTGGATTCAGAAAAGCAAGAATGAAGCATAAGAAGTAACTGACCATGTGGGGACAGGGCTTGTGCCTGCACATCTATGGGAATATGATTGTGGTGTAAGTTTAATGCAGGACCTTGGGGAAAAAGAAAACACATTCAGCAAAAGGTATAATACAGACACATTCTGTAGGAACGCAACTATGGGCATGAAGCAAAGGTGGAAAACATTCAATAGGGAGACAGGGTTATAGGAAGACTGTACAGTTGTATCTATTTCAGTATTTGCTCTAAAAATTATCAAACTATCCCATGAATTCCACTTCTAGGTATATACTCAAGAGAATTACATAATGTATACATGTTCCAGGAGACATGTACTAGAATGCTTTTTAAGGTTGTTGCTTAGAGGGAGGAAGCTTGCAAAAGGGGGAGGGGTGGGGGAGGGGGGAGGGGGAAATTCCCCTGAGGTCTCCAGCTTGTAAGCGCATTGTGCAATGCGGGGCTCAAACTCACATACTGTGACTTCATGACCTGAGTCAATATCAAGAGTCAGATCCTTAACTGTCTCAGCCACCCAAGCACCCCAACATAATGTATCATTACAGAAAAACCTATGGCAAATCAGGTTAATGATATTTCTGGGACTAAACAGGAACTTAAAAAATATGTTTTCAAGATACCACAAATTCTTAAAGAATACCATAGCATCAGTTGGGGGGCTCAGTCAGTTAAGTGTCTGACGTCGACTCAGGTCATGATTGCAGGCTTAGGACTTCAAAAGCCCGCAACACGCTCTGTGCTGATAGCTCAGAGCCTGAAGCCTGTTTCGGATTCTGTGTCTCTCTCTCTGCCCCTACCTCGCTCATGTTCCCTCCCTCCCTCCTCCCTCTCTCTCAAAAGTAAACAAACATTAAAGAAAAGTCATAACTTTAATCGAGGAAAATATCTGTTGTAACAATTAGGTATCACTGCACATTTATGAGAATGGCCAAAATCCACAACACTAACACCAAATACTAGTGAGAATGTGGAGCCATAAGAACTCTCATTCATTGCTGGGGGGAATGCAAAATGGTACTCCTCTTTGGAACAGTTTGCACTTTCTTACAAAATTAAACGTACCCTTAAATACAACCTAGCAGTCCCACTCTTTGGTATTCATACAAATAAGTGGAAAATTTCTGTTCACATGAAAACATACCCACAAAAGTGAAAAATCCTAAAATTTCTATGGAGCCACTAAAGATCCTGAATGGCCAAAGCATCTTGACAACAAAGTACGAAGCTGGAGGCATCACATTCCCTGATTTCAAACCCCCTGACTACAAAGCTGTGGTAATTAAAACAATATGGTATTAGCATAAAAATACACAAATAGATCAACAGAACAGAATACAGCCCAGAAATAAACCCACACACATGGTCACTTAATTTACAATAAAGGAGACATGACTATACAAAAGGGGAAAGCACAATTGATGGTTTGGGAAAACGGGACAGCCAGAGGCAAAGGCATGAAACTGGACCACTATCTGACACCATACACAAAAGTTAACTAAGAATGGATTAAAGACTTAAACCTAAGACCTGAAATAATAAAACTCCTATTAAGAAAAGTTGGGGGGGGGGGGGCGCCTGGGTGGCGCAGTCGGTTAAGCGTCCGACTTCAGCCAGGTCATGATCTCACGGTCCGTGGGTTCGAGCCCCGCGTCGGGCTCTGGGCTGATGGCTCGGAGCCTGGAGCCTGTTTCCGATTCTGTGTCTCCCTCTCTCTCTGCCCCTCCCCCGTTCATGCTCTGTCTCTCTCTGTCCCAAAAATAAATAAAAACGTTGAAAGAAAAAAAAAATTTAAAAAGAAAAGTTAGGGGGTAATGAACTTCTTGAAACATGTCTAGGCAATGACTTTCGCTTTTGTTTTTTGACTCTCAACACCAAAAGAAAAAACAAAAAAGCAAAAACATTTGGAATTATATCAAACTGAAACATGTCTACACAGCAAAGGAACACTTTTTCAACAAAATGAAAAGGCAGCCTACTGAACGGGAGAAACTATTAGCAGATCATGTATCTGATAATGGACTAGTAATCTAAAACATTCCTAAAGCATGCTCAAATAACCCAATTTAAGAAATGGGCACAACATCTGAATAGACATTTTCCAAAGACTTAGAGATGGCCAACAGGACCATGAAAAATGCTCAACGTTATTCATCATCAGGGAAATGCAAATCAAAACCACAATATCGCTTC